TAGACTTCCTCCTTCGCCTATCCTGTCTAAGACCAGTTCATTTTGTGCTTTATCAGTCCACTTCTATCCTTCTTCTTTCTGGCTTTCCCACTAACTATGTTTCACTTCCGTATAGCGCTGTGCTCCAAACATATAACTTCAGAAAAATCTTTCTTAATTGCAGGTCAATTTTTGACACTAGTAGACTTTTCTTTTTGAAGAAGGTTCTTTTTGCTTGTGCTAATCTGCTTTTAATGTCTTCCTTGCTTCATCCATCTTTTGTGATTTTGCTTCCTAAATAACAAAATTCTTTCACTTCTTCTACTGCTCCCCATAACTTTTGTCTTGCTTTTGTTTATCCTTAAGCCGAATTGCTCACCGAGTAATCTATTCATACCATTCGATAATTCCTCTATATCTTCCTTCCTTTCAGCCAAAAGGGCAATATCGTCAGCGAACCTTAACATTGTTATCCTCTCCCCTTGGACTTTTATTCCTGTCCCGAACTTTTCTTTCACCTCCTTCATTGCTTCCTCAACATACAAATTAAACAACGGGCGATAGGCTGCATCCTTGTCTTACTCCCTTTTTAATAAATGCCTGTCTTTCTTGATTCTCCTCTAAACTAACCCAACCTAGCCAGTCAACTATAGTATATAACTCACTAACTGACTATCTCACTTATTTCATTGGCATTATTCTTAAATACTGATTTCACAGGTAACATTTCTTGCTCTCGACAAAAGGTACTTCTTTTTCTGTTGTTTAATATCTAATATAGCAGGTCATATGGTAAACCAGTTTACTGACACTTGAATTTAAGAGTCTTGGAAAGATTTCCATAGTAGAGGTTGTTAACACAGAGTAACTTCACCCCTTGGGTGTTCAAGGTATGGGTCAAAGGGTGTGAGTATAGTTACCTTGAAAGAAAAGCATGTTTGTTAAGCTTACATCCAGGAAGACAACAAAAGAGAAAATCACCAATGAAATATAGGCTGACAGCTAAACAGAGTCACATATATATAACTTGTGACACATAATTCCCAAAATCTCCTATTCCCTTTCAGTCAACTTAAAGGATCTTGTAAACAGTTTGTAACCCAAGGAAATACATTTTTAGATAGCAACATTTCTGATACACCTGAAGAGTAGCAAGTATTGCTGGAAGCATTATTTAAAAGAATACAATTAAGAAGCTGAAAAAACAACATATGTCCTATGTTGTGGTTGAAAAGTATTACATGATCTCCAGGTTTCAGTCTCATGTTCAACTATGAGTGCAGCAGACCATGATTGGTAATTTAATACTGCATTCTTTTAGTATAAGTGTTAAGTACACTGTCTGCTTTCAGTTGATTCTTCAGTTATTTCACCACATATTCTGGTATATGAAACAGTATTTTTGGACTTATTATGACAAGAAAATATTTTGTATTTAATCCTTACATGCACTGTTATGTAAATGCAATGTGACTGATATATAATATCACTATAAAATCCAAGATCAGAGGGAACTCCTTGCTTTTACATTCTTTCCTGTCGGGTAAATTTTCTTTTGCAACCAATTTCACACAATCTCTCACAAAAGCTGTGTGGAAAGTACTGATTTAAACTTTCAATAAAAATACAGGTTTTGAAATCTTCTCAATAAGATGTCTGCATCTGTATATGTGTACCTTTTGCTTTGAATATTTGCCCCTCAAACTACAGGAATTAACAAATTATGGTTATTTTCAACTATTTCAGAGTATCTTAATTTAATTTAGGATATAATAAAATTGGTTAAAATACTTTCAGTGCCTAAAGAAAGTAAATATGAGATAGGTTTCCACAGCAGTAATATCTTCGATTAAAGTACCATGAAGAATAGTAACATATTAAATGTCACCTGTAATACTACACATTATCACCTAGAACGACATATTCCAAACCCTAACTAGGTAAATTCTCTCTCATATAAATATACATACACATAAAGTGAACAATAATATTAAAATGCTACCAATGCAACAATTTGCAAATCTACAAACTTGTTTAGTTCCATACACTTGCTTTTCTATATGATGTTCAAAACATCACAAAATCCACTTTATAATATTTATTCGTGGTTGCAATTCAATACAATTTGACTGAATTAATAAACACATCATTCTGGCTATCAGAAATCCATGCCAGTCACGTCAAGTGGTAACCTGCCTGTGCCAGTCCAACAGTTGTCTTCAAACAGTATTTTTCACAAGTGCAACGAGTATTCACTGTTGAACACTACCTGGCTTCCCATCCTTACTTAACTTGCCAGAATGTTTTAACGGATAAAGTTCCTGATTCTCCTGTGCTAAACAGATCGAAAATATCTCATCTGGCAAATTCTTTCTGCGATAGAGAAACTCTTTACAATATTGCATAAAATATGAGGAAAAGAGTAAATGCAATGCACTGTTAAAAGTGGTGGACATTTCCAGCACTTAATATAACTTTGTTTTCTAATTTCAATATAATTTAGCTTTTGACATACAGAACACGCGTCAGGAATGGGTTATGCAACTTTTTGATCACCCTATGTCATTACATCTTGCTTCCATGAAAAGAAAAAGTGTTTTATATTTGTACTAATTCATACTATGTATGTGTGTGTATTAGGTATTTTTCTCTAGGTATCTCAATGACTCAGGACACACACAATTATAAAAATTAATAATCATGCTTTTATTTATTTATATTTACCCATTTTAATTTGACACTTTATCCACATATTCAAGGTTTCTTTTCATACTTTAATGCGGCAAACTGTACTCTGAGATAATATTAGCAAGTTGGGGGGGGGGGACTAAGTTCATGAGAAATAATGATTAAGAAACCTGTCACAGAGCTTTTAACACACTAGAAGATATACTTCACATATGAAGCCACACAATCCAATGCCTACAGCATACAATTACTATACTGTAGGAAGTTGAAGAGACAAACAGTAGTTCCTAAATTTGTTACTATTAAATGTATCTATATGTACAACTTACTAGTTATGACACCATAATAGCACTTATGAAAATGCAGTCTTACCAACTCTTTCTGCTGTTGTTCTTATTAACCATTTACATACAATAAACATTCAATCAATCAATCATGTACATCTAACAGAAAAAAACATTTAAAATATTAAGCCAGAAGTAAGCCTTGAATAGCAGGTTAAGCATCTAGTAAGCACTTGCTATATTCATATTAAAGGAAAGGGTAGGATTAAATTCAATAATTAAAATATCTTTATTGCAACTATCAAAACACAATGTTATCCATATATTACAATTAAGTACTCCCAAGCATGTCTCCCTCCAAATAAAATCCATCATGCAATTCTGTAATTAATATTTTATTAGCCCATCATTGAGTACAGTGGGCATAAAGAAACTACGAATAATCTATTTTTATGTACAAATACTGATCATGCAAAGTTATTTATTCTTTGGCTATTTGACAGCTGGAAGTGCAAATACAGCATAAAGACACCTGAGACAAATTCACAGAACGTACTTAATCATTCAAAGTTACTACATCCAACATGGGCTTTGAAGCAAATTTTACAAAAATAATACTCTCTACAAAAAGCAAACCTACATGTTCTCACAGGATAAAATCTTCTAAACACATACAAATTTTTTTTTCATGTTCTATTTCTAATCTACCTTCATGAAACTTATCTTTACAACTAACTGGTAATTTGGCCCCGGATTTTTATTGCAGTATGATACAGAGTTCTTATACAGCAAATCTCAATTTGAATAATCTGTTTTGCAAACTGCTTTGTGAGATCCAATATACTTTAATAAATGAAACGGTTTTATTGCCAATCAGATTAAATGACAACCAAGTTGTTTCATTGGTCCAACCCAAAGTTTATGGTGTGAAGATCTCCGTTCATAAATGTTAAAGATACTGTAACAGTGACAAAACTACAATAAATCAAGAAGTGGCAATAATTCTGATTTCAGTGCCTCCACATTTAGAATTTTCAAGTTATTGTGATGTACAGAAATATGATCAACAAACTATATTACCTACTACCATTTCTTTCATGCATGTATCCAGTATGAAATCATCAATGATTCTAGAAAGTGAACAATATAACAGAATGACAACAAAAGAGAAATAAAAAAATAAACTCTATAAAGAATATCAGTTAAAATACAAGAATCATTTATCATATTTGCATACACAGTCTACACATGCTGGGTAAACACTTCAGTCTATTAGCATACATGTACAATGCACTGCTCTTAATGCAAATATATACAGAAAAGAAGTGTTATGGAGCAGTGAATGGTTGCAGAAGGCCTACTTTATTTCCTGCCCACTTAAAGTTGACAGCGGTTACTTTCATACTTACTTGTTAATGTTTCCCATGTAATAACATACACATAGATTTCATATCATGTTGAGTTCCAGAAATGGGGTTATAAAACTTCTCTACCAATCATCACACATGGTCCAGAGAGCATGGCTGTATATTTTCACACACAAATCTTCACAAAAGAATACTCGAAGATGTGCTGTTTATTATGCACAGATATTCCTTACATTCCTATGTCATGGATTTCAAAACTTTCATTATAGTTGACCTAAACATGTTCCACATATCATAGCATGAATTCTAATTTATGAAAGCCAATTTAGTGGTATGAATTAAGTGTAGGATTTCCCAAGACCCAACCAAAGCACACAGATGTCTCAGTTGGAAATTAAATAGGTATGGGACTATCATTAGTAGATCCACTGACTCTGTTAGAGACATGAAGAGGTTGGCATGAACATCACTATAATACATAATTTCAATTATATTCCCAGTATTAAATTTATGATGGTGGCATTAGTGGCAATAAAAATGGTGACAACGGTAATTTTTTACAAGTTAAGTGATGAATGCACAATGTCTCAAATAAAATCCTCTATCTTGTGAATGTCACCTAAACTATTTTCATCCTTGTCCCCAGACCTGGTCCTCAAGTTGATGATGACAGAAGACTCACCTAACTCAGATGGTGGGGCTAAACTTGTGACCTTATATGGTGTCGCTACTTCCTCTTCAGTTTCCTCCATGACATCTTCACAAGCTTCTTCATTCAGTGTTTGCAGGGCACCACATATCATCTGCTCTTCCAGTGTCACCTGCAACAATCACATAATACACACAATTCTGGCAGCACCTTCATACACTACTTTAAAATAACTCTGTATCTTTGTTAATTATGATGCTAAAATTATTTGTTATGAGGCTCTTTTGATTTGGCAGTAATTATATTCCTTCTTCATTACCAGTACTAAGATTGTTAGGGAATGGGCAGAAACATTCCATAAGTTTCTAGGTACTGTAATGAGAACATTAACAATTTTATGAGTTTTATCTCAAAATACCTTACCCTCCAACCACTTATTAACAAAACCTTCTACTACTATTTATTGATATGCATATATATTGACCACATATCCAATTAATATCTGAAAAACTATATTAATGGGAAATTAATTTCTGCCAAACAAATTACTTTCAAGACAAAGAGTTAACACACTTCCAGAAAAACAGAGTACATCTGTAACATAAACAAGATTTATATATTTTAGCTTTTCACATTATTCACTTTGTGGTTTCAATTCTACCTTTCTGTTGTTTATAACTTGCTATAACAATACAACAAAGGATTACATTATTTAGGGATTTAGGTCCAATGACAAATACAGCTATCCTTGTTAACAACACTTTCATCTGTCTCTAGTGTGATGGCATTGCTACACTAGTTTCTAAAATTCAGAACAGTGTTTTTCAAATTGAGTCTAACAACGTTTCTTACAAATGAAAGAACATTATTTAAAGTGGAAATTCTACACAACTCTTTTTCTTTATTACCATATAACAAAGTCATGGCTACATCTTTTTATGTGCATACATCATTTTAAAAAATTCATAATCGTCTTTACATATTAATATGATTATTTAGTAATTATATGAACATGTCATAATAGGATTTGAGGTCTTCAGGCAAGTGAGTTTGAAGATGGATGCCTTCTGGGTTGTTGCACCATGTTGTCTGGTAAATGTTTACTGACATTTCAGAGGTCCTTGCTGCCTCCATCATTGGTAAACTTCTACCAGCTTACACGGTGCAACAACTCAGAAGACTAACTAACTAGATGGCTTACCAAACCCAAAGGTTCATCACCGAATTAACCAAAGCTCTCCACCGGACCCTGTCCTGGGCCAACAAAATCCAGTCTCCTTCAACTCCTATCTCCCATAGATCCTGCCTGACATTATCCTCCCATCTACATCTAGAGCTTCCCAGTGGTCTCTTCCCCTCAGGCTTCCCAACCAATACCTGGTGCACACCTCTTGTCCCATACAACTCAGAAGACAGCCATCTTAAGTCATAATATAAATAATAAATACTGTTTTAACAATGCAAGTGTGCATAGACATTAGTGTTATAGTCATATTAATGTGGCTTCACCATAATATTTTAAACATTGCATAGACATGTACAAACACATAATATACACAGCTTCATGCTTTATGTTTTAAACCTTTTAGAAGGGTTAAAAATGATGCTCACACTTTAAAACATGCAGCTATAACTTTATTTACTAATAAAAAATAGAGCTGCACTAACAGTACTCTTCAAAGCACTCAATTTCAAGTGCAAAGGGATGTTTCAAACAAAATTAAAAAGTACCATTTTAACCTCCAAATAAACAATATAAAATAAGCAAACAAACAAACTATTAACACTATAAATGACACTAATGCCAAATGGGTTTCGACCTCTGCTTGCCGCAGACCAGCAACGGCCAGCATTGGACCAATAGCTAAGTGCAGAGTACAACTCCTGTGAAACCAAACATCTAGTGTAGTGTTGCTTGTTATGGTTTTGTAAGGAACTTGACATCATGATTTATTTTTTTAAAACCATTTTTGATTATATAAATTAATTCCCTTTTGCCACTGATGATGACCTCTTGAGGTCGAAATGTGTTTAGCACTAGTGTCATTTGTAGTGTTAATAGTTTGTTTGCTTATTTTATATTCTAATATACTACACAATATGCAAAGTTTTAAAACTCCAAATAAACATTTCAATAAATTATTAAACTATTATTAACAACAGAATAAATAATTTATTTCCTAATTATTGCAGTGTCTGCCTGAATAGTGTGGAACAGAATAAAAAATTTAAAAAAACTGTCATACTTCCTGCATGGTCTAAGAATTATACTTGAAAACACTGTTCCATTTACAATGGTCTCTGGAACAACAATATGGTTACACAAAGGGTATTCATAACAAGAAGAGTTTTCAGCAACAAAGTTCCAACTGATCATCTTGATCATAATGTGGAGGAATGTTTGTTAAATCCATGCATGTTTATAACAGATACATGAGTATCAAATAGGAAAGAAATTATGACTGGGTATTTCAAGTAATTAAAAACAGGTGGTACGTACGTCAGCAATACAAACATCCTAGTGTTCACTAACACTACAGTTTATTTTAATGAAGGAATAAGAGTAAAATAAAGAAATAGTGGACTTCAGGAGAAGTGTCTTATTCTGGGTGTAATGCATTTATTTTTTTAAAATCACTTACCTCTTAACAACTAAAGTCCGACTTTAGTCCAAAGCTACAACATTATTATAATAATGAATTAAGTAAGAATTAATTAAAAGTATTCTACAATGTTTTAATAACAGTAATCATCACATCTGACAGATTTTACTTTATTATCATGAAATTTTAAATGCCTAAGTAAATTTAGCAGAAATTAAAAAGAGCTGTTTTAATATAAGATGTTCATGTCTCATCCTATACTACATTTTCAAGGTCATACAGACGTATTATTGCAGAATAGCAGATATGTCAACAGAAAGGCTGAGGATTGGTTTTTTTTTAATGTAAGTCCATCTGTTACAAGTCAAGAGTTGTTCAATAACCTATCTCCCTTGAGTCTCAGTATGAGAAATAGCAAGTATATGAATGTTATAAGTAGTAACAGCATTCCAGTTCATTATTAATTATCACCCTCTCATTCAACACTACATACTCTGAGCTACTAACAGCATCATTAAATAAACCATGAACAAATAAATTAAACAGTTTTGAGAGTAATTATCTTAAATGCTGACTTTTACAAATTAATGATGTGCTAAAATGTATTATTTTTGGCAGGATCACGACTGGCAACTCAAATGTTAATTCACTATTTGTAGCACTTGTAATCTTGTAAATTTGGATAAATAATCCAATAGAATACCTATATGAATGTGGAAGGATGTAAATAATAATTATTAATAATGCAGCTAAATGAAAATATGCAAGTATAAGCTAGGGTCTGTATTAGTTTAAAAACAGTTGTATTCATGGGTGCAATATATAGATGAAGACTAATGCACTGAAGAGGAATAAACAGTAACAGTTACTAGTGTTCATATGACCTCAACACAACTCCACAATATGAATGTAGTGTAACAGAACAATGAATGAAGTTCTATTCATCTCTCACAAACTACATGGGTTGATTAATTAATTAACGAACTAAGATAAAGTCTGTAACAGACTAAATACAACTGATTATAAACATCCAATACAGCATATTAATGTATAACATAGACATATGTAATTGCACATACCGTACCTGATACTGCAGACATCAATGTTCAAGCACAGGGAAAAAAATACAATTAAATTCTCATTTATATTTTCCATATTACTTAAAATTTAATTGATTCAATAACTGTATTGTGGCAGTAAATATAAATAAAAACAGTTCATGTAACAGAAATGCTAAATAAGTAACCAAATTTTCAAGATCAGCCATAATTTAAAGTACTGTAGAACATTTCTTTCAACACTGAGAAATATATAATTGGTATCTAAGCTGATTCCAAATTCCCCCTTAATATCATAATCTACCCTTTGAATGCCAAAATCCTGATCATTTATTCAGAGCATGTTTTTAAAATTTTAATGTTGTGGCCCAGTGGCCACAAGATTTTGCAATTTTAAAAATAATGGAAGCTATAGAGATTATAGCAACAGAACTAAGGAAGAAAAAAAAAGGTCAGACTAGTATGCACTTTCTGAAATGTGTGAATGTCAGCACAAGCAAAGGGGCAGAAATGAGTCAAGGGGGACAGGTAATGTTCACATCACAGACCCCGTTAGCGTTAGCAAAATTTCCGTTCTTATATTAAGACCGTTTACCATTTCCAGCAATGCGTCTTGTGCGCAGGAATGGTTTCACCTAGGTAGGGACGATGCTTGCGCTT